AGAGATCTCTGCATTGTTGTAACATGTCAGCAGGGCTGGTAACTGCAAATAAAAATGACTGAATCAGCAGTGAATTAATGTCAATTGCGATGTGACTACTAGTATTATCACATTTCAGTAATGGGAAATTTGCCCTCAAGTTTGACCAGCACATCACTATTCACTAGAGAGCATAGCAACTAATTGGATTTTGCAAGCTTTGAGTATTACTAAAATGATTCACATCCAAGCAGGCCAATAACCTCTCCAGTTGAGTACTGAAATATGATTTTGTAATTTGTAGTGATGTTCTCTTTCCCTCCCCCTTCTTTTTAGAGAAATTTTACTAGTCCCTCACAAATATGCGACATTTTTAATACTGACATGATCCCCCAAACACAATGCTTTTTGTCACAGAATATTTAGAAAACAAAACAAAAGTACAATTTTAAAACTCCATTTTGAGACAAATCCACTCACATTATTTTCAGATATCCAAACTCAAACACATAAGTAATACGCAACCAAAGTTTGGATTGGTTGAACCTCTAAACGTCATGCATTTGTGATTGGGAGGAATAAGAAACACACAAGAAAAGTGGCGAGAGCTCTGCCATTTAGTTACAATGCAAGAAACACATAGGAAAAATTCCACCCTGAGTTATGTCCAATTTTGTCAGGTGACATTGTGAATTCATAAGCATCAAAATCTGAGCTTTCGCCATGCAACCAGCATATACCTGTATGCCCAACTGTTCTGTCAGATACAAAAATCTCGTAGTCATTGCCACCCTGTTCGATCATAGATTAAATTAATCAGATGAATTAGCAAAAATTGGCCATGCTACGATTGTGCTCGTGGCTACTAGCAAGAAAATAGGATTCCTGCATCGGTGGCTTGGAAACAAACATATCAAGACACCATATATAGGCCATACAAGACACAAGCACAAGTAAATAAAGTAGATATACCACCTTGTAAGTCTTATCCCCAAAGAAATGGATTTCCTGAAACTCCTCAAGATATCTCAAGCAGTAAGTTTTGTCCCAGCCTTGGGGAAATACCTGGCATTTAGTGTGGAAATAGTAAATACCATGAAGCCTAATATTTTCTGGAAAATGTGCGCAAATCCTAGAGACTCACATCAAAACTAATCTGCCCACCGATAGAAAATGACAGGTTCAAGTGTGTAAACTTTTCACGAAGCACGGACACCATCTTAGGCCGGATGTTATGCACCTGGAGAAAATGTATTTGAATGATACCATTCCATGCATGTCCGACTACACAAAGTTACTAATGTTCAGTAGGTGATGATTCATACTGTACCTTATCGTACTTCTCAAATTCATCACGCTCCTCCTGACTGCAATTTCTCCCTATAGGAGACACGTTAATCATCCCATTTCGGACCTCTATGAATGTACCCCTGAGACAATAATCATAATCAGTGATGACTAATAAGACAATATAAGGTAGTGCAAACCAGAATTATTCTAATCACTGACCTTTTAATTGGGATATCCAAGTCAGCAATGTAGTGAAGAGTGAAGTTGATAATTTCCTGGAAAGAACACATCATCTTCAGCAGATGCCTGAGATTTTATCGGTTGGGCAGTGCAAGAAAGCGAATATGCTACCACCTAGACTCACCTTCAGCTTGTCTTCTCCCAGAAATGATTTCAAACTCTGCAGAGTGCAAAACAATAGCTTGGTCAGTGTGAGAGCCTAAAGGAGTCAGATATTTAATTCTAGTAGAGTAGCAGGCACAGTAAAAACATCTGGTTTGTGTTAGTTGTCGGTGTTAGCTCAAGCAGGCATTCAACAATGCCCGTAGAACATGATTTTGCTTTGCCTGGTCATGCAAGCTTTGAGTGTTACTAAAATGATTCACATCCAAGCCTAATATTCGCCAACAACATGATTTTGCTTTGCCTGGTCAGTCTCAGTTCTACTTCATTAATTATACTACTACTACTACTACTTCCTTCTTGATACTGAATTTGATGGTCTGAAATTCAGAGTTGACCGATACATATAACTGATATAAGACAGTAGAAATAAGGTGCACGCAAACTTACTTGAGTTCCAATTAGCTCTCCGTTCTTGTGTGCAACCAGGCCATTTTCAGAGAAGACGTAATCGTAATCAGTAAAAACTGCAACGAGAGGACTTGAACGCAAGCTCATCAACAATGTAATTTTGCAGTGACGAACAGAGAGGACCAACTAACTTGATTGTATAGGTTCCAGACCTGATTTGCCGAGCTGCTCGGTAATCTTGACCAGATCAGATCCACCCACCACGCCTAGAGTCACGTGCTGCTCCCAAAATCAAAATCATAACGGAGATTGCATATATGCGCAGCAGCAGCAGCTGATGCTGCTGTAAGGGGGTGGTGAGAGAGATGTCTCAGTTGTCACCTGTCGCAGCTGTCTCATGAACTCCAGCATCTCTGGGGTTAATTCGCAAAGCTAAAAACGCCAGGGATTGATTCCAGGGAAGCTCGCGGGACCTTGCGGGGCGCGGTGAGGGTGTCGTCGACGTCGAAGAGCGCGAGGACGCCCGCGTTCCTTCCCTGCGCAGCCATCGCCAACCGCAACAAGTCGTCGCTCTCCTGTTTCTGTTTCCCCGGAGCTGGAGGCGATTGGACGGGCGCCTTTGGACTAGACTCTGTCTGTCCTGGCTTTGATCCGGTCCCATGGCCTCAAAGGTCAATTTTAAAGGTCATGGTCGATCAATTTCACCAAAAGATCGTGATCTTATTATTGGCCTAATGGGCAATCTGTACTATTACGAGACATGAATACTATTCACACTTCCAGAAAAGATCAAATACAAGATTGAAAAGTATCATAATAGCACGTTAAGGTTATTAGTAATGCATCAAATTAAATAAATTTACAAGTGAACCATGATATCAATTTTATCTATTTTCACTTTCAAAATACGATATTCTACTTTCAAGTATAGACATGCTTACGAGTTATGACCAACCGTGTTTTATTTTGAAAAAGTAAAAAAAAATAAAATAAAGACAAAGATTATTATACGACGAGTGGGTCAAAACACATGTTATCCATTGGAGGATCACTTCGACGTGAAGAGATCTCTGCATTGTTTTGACGTGTCATCACTGGTTGCAAATAAAAATGACTAGATCAGCGGTGGATGTCAATTGTGATGCGACTACTACTATGATAAAAAGGGGTATGATTTTCGCAAATAAAATTAAGCTCTGAGCCTAAAATTTCACACGAGTCACATTTCAGTCACGTAATTTTTTGCCACAAGTTTGACCAGCACATCACTGTCCACCAGAGAACATAGCAACTAGTTGGATTTTGCAGGATTTGAGTATTACTAAAATGATTGACATCCAAGCAGCTCTTGTACTAGTAAATAACCTATCCAATGTGAAATATGATTTTGTCCCTTTTCGTTTTATTTTCTATAAAGGCACGCTTGGTTGGTGCGGTAGTATACCATACCTAACCCTAAACAAACGGTGCCTGTCACAGAAAATACGGCAAAACAAAATTTGTCCAAAAAATAGGTCTATAATATGTGAGAAACAAATGCTAAAACATATGATGGCTATAGTTGTGGTAATGAACCAAACTATTAAAAGGGAAAGACCAGCGTTTGGACGCCGACGCCGCACGCCTACGCCACTTCACGTGGGGCCCGCATCGCTCCATGTCCCACGGGCGCACCATGTCCCACGCCGCTCCGTCTCGATCTGCGCCCGCATAGTATTTCACTCGTGTCCCGTCCACACCCACGCGCATGTAGGCAGGCCAGCTGCTGCACTAGGCGACGGTTGCAGATGGGTCCCACTTTAACATGTGCAACACCAGATCTACTTTTGCAACATATGTCCGAAACAGTTGAAACCCTTGCAAAACACCAGAAAAAACTTAAAAACACACGTGTAGCCATTGCAAACATTCAGATAAAACCACTTGCAACATAAATATGAAAACATTTGAAACACTTGCATATATATGAAACATCTAGATCTACTTTTGCAACATCGATGAAACACTTGCAACATACGTCTAAAATAGATGAAACATTTGAAGCCCACACTTGAAACATACATGTATAGTCATTGCAACATGTACAACATTCCGATCTACTTTTGCAACAGCGATGTGAAACACTTGCAACACACCTCTGAAACATCTAAAACATACGCTTGCAACATGCGCTTTTCAGCCCAATATCACCTTGCTGCTTGGACGAATGGAGGCTCATCGTTACGGAGCCCGACGTCGGTACGGAGGTCGGCGGCCCGCATGGAGCTCGTCGGTGCCCCAGCGGAGGCACTGCACTGGCGAGCACCTGCCTAAGGCACAAGAGGAGCGCTGGGCGAGCACCTGTGAGAGGAGCAACTAGCGAGCACGGCGTCCTGCTCGGCGAGCACCCCCATGCAGCACCCTTGGAGAGCGGACAACAGCCGACAAGCACCCCCTGCCTAGCGAGCACAAGCACCACCTGCTGCGCCAGCAACCGGCGAGCACCCCTGGCTATCAAGCATGCGAGTTTGAGATTGGGAGGAGAGTCACAGGCTCCACGATAGAGAGATGGAGGAGAGAGAGGGGAGATAGAATTGGAGAGGATAAGTCCGACGGGAGTAGATATTTGTGTGATGGAGAAATACGTGCACCACGTGAGGCCACATAGCGTCTGTTCGTCTGGGCACAGGACGAACTATCCGCGGTGGATCATTTCCGCTATTAAAAACTGTGACACAACATAATATGACAAATTTTAGTCGTGAACCAAACATGCCCTTATCCGTTTTTAATATTGACACGGTCCCAAAAGCAAATTGTTGACTAGTGCCTTTTTTGTTACAAAATATTAAAAAACAAAAGAAGAACTAAATATACTTTTAAAACTATACAAATCCACTCAAATTATATTCAAATATTCAAACTCAAACACATGATTTGTTAACAAAAAAACTCGAGCACATGAGAAGTTGAATTCTGATCTCGAAATTTGTGAGGTGATGGAGGAACCAAAGCGGTTTTCCCAAAAGTCGCCATCAAACTCAAAACACATCACTCCAGTACAGTCCACACTCCACAGTGGCGCACGCGCATTCCACACTCCAGTGCTTCGCTTCAGCGTGGAGCCCAAACCCTCGCCGCTGCCGGCCGCAACTTCGCGCCGCCGCGGGGCAGCGACCAAGCGCAAGGAGAGGGCCGCATCCGCAGCGCCCTCCGGGTCCCCGCCACCGAAACGCCAGGCCCGGGATTGCGGGCCCGTCGACCCGCCGTCCCTCCCGCCGCCTCAACCGCGCAGCCGCCAGCCGGCACGCAAGCCGCGGCGCAAGCCCGCACGCAAGAAATCGACGCAGCGCTCCGTGAAGCCGCCGCCGCGCGCGCAGGAGGCGGAGGGTCCGCCGCTGCTGCCGCCGCCGTTGCCGCCACCACGGCCGTCGCTGGAGAAGGAGATCGAGGCCGTTCTGTCCCGCGGCGCTGGCGTCCACGTCGTACCCACCTTCGCCGGTAAGTTCCCGCATCCGGACAGTATTTAGATATGGGATACCCCCGCTTCCTAGATTCGTCAATGTGGCCTTGTTGGTTGGCAATTTGAGTTAAAAAATTAAAGGTTTTGGTCGCACGTGGCCTGTAAAGAGGAATTTTCCATTCTAGCGTCTTGTTTGGATTCGACTGCTAGAGGCTGCACTCCCGTGCCGGCTTGCTTATATATGCAATAGTCAACGAGCATATGGTTATATCTGAGAACATGTTCGGCTGGGCTGCTTCTGGCTGGCTGGGCTGCTGCTGAATGGGCTGATCAGCCCAGCCGTTCTGCAGCCCATGTGCAGCCGTTCGGCTGACCTTCAAGGAGGCTCGGCACACGGCGGCCGCTAGCTCGCCCTCTCAAACGCTGCCGCCCGTCTAGGGTTCCTCCCCTCGCGCAGTCGCTCTCCTCCTCGCGGCCAGACACGGGCGGCGGTGGCGGCATCCCTCTCAAGTCGTCCGGCCCTCCGACTTGAAGACCCGCCTTGTCGCCGTCATCCGCTCACATCTGCAACATCTGCGATTTTGAAGCGTAGCCCCCTACCATCTAAGAAGCAAAGTTTTAGATATATATCTGCAAAATATATTTAGATCTGAACCTTATTTCTCCATTTTAGTTCTGTCAATAAGTACACCGTCAGCCAAAACTTCAATCCACCTGTAATCATGATCAATTATGAAGTCAAGTCCCCCTTTTCGGTCAAAAGAATACACAGATCATGTAATGTACTCTTTCTGGAACACATTGAACACGAAATAGACGAAAGGTACCTTCATACGTTTGCATCTACCAACAGGCTCTCCCCATGGCGCCATCCATTTCGGAAATGGCAAAGAAGATACTCCCATCATTGGCATAAAATCTACCCTCGCCATTAGCCTTCCCCTTCCAAAAATTTGCAAACCAGCGGTCACCGCTGTGAAAATAGTACCAGCCCTAGATTTGGTGGGTGGGGAGTAAGTCAGTAAATCAGACTTTTTTTTTTTCAAACAGAAAGTAAATCACATGGAGTGTAAAGAGTGTTACATTGTCCAACTTGATATAAAATAAATGTTCAGAACTTGCAGCTTGAATAAGTTAAGGTGCTCGGATATTTCATGGCTTGATAGGTTATAATCAAGAATTCAAGACTAACGGTCTTTATATAAAAGATGCCAAATAAAACAAAAATCCTGAAGAAATAGCTCTAAGCACATGGCAATCATGCTTAATAGGTACATAAAGTAGAGACTGTGAATTTGAAAAGCACTCTGTTAGTGTGTCCATTTCACAGCTTTGATGTGCAAGATGAAAGCAACTGTAACAAAAGGACTTCAACTAGTAGAAAGAAAAGGACTTAAACAACGATTTAGTTACTTGCACACGCACGAACCAGCCTTTTCCTGTTCTCTGTCATGTTCACTAGTCCTTTTTCGTTGCAGGTTTTCAGCGGTTTCAACAAGTTTTCAACGGCTCCTGCGCAATGGTGTCCACACTGGCACAGTCGTCCTCTTCGTCGTGCTCGCCACCTGAAGCCAGACATTACTACCGGCGTTCCAAACGCGCGAAGTTGCTTGAGAAGGCAAGTGTACTCATGTTTATTCCTTACTAATACTGCCTGTATGTTCCGTGCATCATGACCATTTCTTTACTGTATCCCCACATACAACTAGCGTAAGTACACCGCCATAGTAACTACACCTGGGTACAGATGTCGAGGCATCATGGACAGACGTCCAGCGACCGAGCCCATTGGGGCCCCGAGGAGACGAAAATTTTCCTGGACCTTTGCATTGCTGAGAAGAACAAAATGAACTTCAACCAGAAGGGCTTAACTAATCTGGGATGGAGAAATGTGTACCACGGATTCGCCACAGAAACTGGCCTTCAGTTGCCCAATAAGAAGCTGCAGAACAAGCTATCGGCCATGCGGCGACAGTACTTCACCTGGCGCGACCGTACCACCCATACAAGACTCGGACGTGACCCCCAAACTGGAGGTGTCACTACTGATCCCAGCTTGTTCGAGGAAGAGGAAGAGGTAACTCCTTTCATCTATTCTTTGGGTCTGCTCGCGCAATGACATGTACGGTTCGAATACTAACTTGTTCACCAGCAGGACAATACTAAGGAAGGTGAGGATCCCGGGGCGCCATCAGATTTCCTTGACGAACTGACCACTCTGTACGGGCACACCCCCAGAGATAGGGGCACAATGCTCAGTGCCGGTGGACACCATGAGAGGACACCGACACGGATGACCGAAGCCACTCCAGCAGCTATGTCACAGGACTTCGTAGCTGGATCCAGTGTTGGTCAGTCGTCCAAAAGGCGCACTAGGGACCAGGTGGTGGACAGCCCACAGAAAAAGAAGAGTGCCAGCTTGGAGGACTGCGTGAGAGACATCTTAGACACTGTGAAAGAGATGGCATCGGGTGATCAACATCTCAGCCGGGAGGAAGTGGAGATGGACCAAGTGCGTCAGATTTTAGAACAAGATGGTTTTCCAGAGGGGACCGAGGAGTTCCTGAAAGCCACGTACCTATGCAAGAAGAAACTCAACCGCAGGACGTTCCTAACCATGAAAACACCCGATGGTCGACTGTCTTGGATCAACTTTAACTGGGAAAACAAGTAGACAAATGGAACTACAGCAACGCTGATGTTTAGTCATCCTTCGTTTAATTTCTTTGCATGTGTGTTCATATGTTTCAATCGATGTGTGTTTGCTTGTTCGAATTCGTTTCATGTACCGTGAGCGTTTGGCATGAACTCTTTGTTCTTTATGTACTGCATCATAGTAAACTTCTGCCCGGTGCCCTGTGTTGTAATAATCTTTGCCTCCGCTACAAATTTATTAATGTGAGCTTATTATCATTATTGTCGGATGTGTATGGGATCTAAAGTTACATTTTGCAGTGGAATCATCAGCACCACAATGATGGAACGCAGACTCACCAGGAGCAGGGACGCCTGATAATGAACTACAAACACAGCATCCAGGTAAACGCAGTAGGGGAGGACTGGTTTTCAATGTTGTAGTGGTGTTCTGTTTGAATTGCTTGCACTGGAATAATTAATTTGTAGCGGACATATTATGATAGTAATGTTAGTAGTGTAGGTGACTGATGTTGCATAAATGTTTTGTAGAATGAGCAGCACTGAACATTCCGACGAACAGCCAAGCGCGAGCACAACTTCGAGTGATGGCCCCAAGAAGAAATTCAAGGCAAAAATTGTCAAGTCGGCGGGTCTTGGAGCTGCTCTTGCTGCTGTGGCTTGTTCCAAGCAAGGTCCTGTGACGAATCCTCAGTGCCCATTCGAAGACATGACCGGGCGACAATGGGTGGAAGCAAATTTGCAGAACAAACGTAAGTGCTTCGAGAACTTTCGGATGTATCCTCACTCTTTCATGAAGTTGCACAATGAGTTAGTGCAGTCAATGTTTTTAAGGCGGTAAAGCGAGGCGAGGCGACCAACTACCGCCTTACGCTAAAGCGAGTAAGGCGTAAGGCGAGGCGACGCCTTACGGCCATCCAACAGTAGTATAGACTAGAGAACTGGAAGCATGTCATACCTTGGTGTTGTCCTCTCCTGTGCAGCTCGCAGCCCCAAGTGTGAATCCAACAATACACTGCAATGGAGAGACAATTCAGGTTAGTACCTAAGTATTTCATAGGGAATATGGCACCAGCAAAAAAAGAAATTAGTTGAGGGACAGGTAAAGATTAACGAGTAGATAAGCACACTGCCACAAATAAAACCATTACACAAGTAGTTCAACAATAGTCCACTAAACAAGATAACTGGAGTGCTCAGTGAGCACATTCCACAATACTACAATACTAGTGCATAAATAGTCTGGTACAAATACTCTCACAACTCTCAAGCATCATTAAGTCAATAGAAGTCATCCTCCATCACAAAAGGATCTGAATTGCCACCACCAGCAGCAGCTTGATCACTTTCGTCAGCAACAATAGGTGCAATTTCACCATAGTCATCAACTTCCACATCATCAACCAGATATTCTTCATCAGAGTTATCATCTTCCATGTCTTCATCCTCCTGTGGTTCATAAGTCCTCCTAATTGGGGCATTAGCTGCTGCAGACCGCCTACGAGTATAAGTTCTATCAATATTAGTTGCATCGCCGCGGGCTGCCCTAGGGAAATTACGACCACGATACATTTGGGATGCACCAACAGCCTCATCAACTTGATCCCATGTAATTTCAAGTCCACGGCCATTATGGACTGGTTCCGCATCCACATCAACCCATTCATTGTTCCAATCAAAGTCTTCCAAACACAAAGGATCAAAGCTGCCTGCTCCTTTCTCATGTCGCTTTTGAAACCTCACTGCCATCTTTCGGTTGTACTGAACATAGACCAAATCATTAAGCCTTTTATGCTCTAACCTGTTTCTTTTCTTAGTATGAATCTGCAATGGTAAAAATGCAAACAAAAGAAATATTCAGCAAGCATTAATAGATAGTAGATTTTATTTATTCCTTGAACTGGGATAATTGAGTACTTATGTAATTGACAGATTACTTACTGACTCAAATGTGCTCCAACAACGCTCACAACCTGAAGCCGAAGCACAAAGCCCAACAACACGTTTTGCAAATCTTTGAAGCTCTATGGCTTTGCCACCATATGAACGCCACCATTCAACTAGATCAAGTGACCAAATAAACATTTTCATGTTAGAAATTAGGAAAGACTAAAAAATCAGATTGTACAGTCAGTGAATAACTTACTAGGAGACTTGGTTTTGATGTTGTTGATTGCAATTTTGTTGCTGAAGCTACCCCTTAAGTCCTCATATTCCAAAGCTTGGTCATCAATCTTGTTTTGAAGATCTTGGTCAGGCACCATTTTTGAAAGAACCTCAGTAAATGCAGACCTTAGCTTACCAGCCATAACATCATCTGTTTTCAGGTCAAAATACTTGTTTGGGTTCAAATATAGTGCTGCCCCATATAATGGTTGGTCCATTTGATCTTCCCAACGCTTGTCAATGATTGCCAAGATACGCTTAAGCAAGTCTGCCTTTCCCCTAGTAGGGAAATTTTCTTTAATCTTTTTCTTTGCATATTCCATACAAAACTGAACCTCTGGCATTGCTGGCCTCTCATCCCCATCAACTATCCTCAACAAAACAATAAGGGGCTGTGATGCTCTCAGGCAGTCCTCAACTGAGTTCCAAAATTCGGTTGAAAGGATGGTGTCATGCACTTTCTTTCCTGCTTCTGTTCTTGCCAATTTGGACTTAGTCCAGTCATCACTTACAAATAGGAATTTCAGAGCATCCTTATGAGTGTGTAGGCTGCGCAAAGTGAGGAAAGCAGTAGCAAAACGAGTTACTCCTGGTCTAACAAGATCTCTACCTCCTGTCTTCTCCCTCATTGCATCAAGAAGCCTCCCGTGCCTATAAATAAAGGTAGTAACTTGTCTTGCACGTGCAATAGGCTTGCTAAACTCCTTCATTTTGCCAATGTCCTCTAGCATGAGGTCCAAACAGTGTGCTGCACAAGGGGTCCAGAACAGTGTTGGAATTCTTTCCATAAGAAGCTTGCAAGCTGCCTTATAATTAGCACCGTTGTCAGTGACCACTTGAACAACCTTGTCTCTTCCAATGAGATCAATTCTCTGCTGTAGTAAATCTGCCAACATTGGTGCATCATGTACTTCACTGGATGCATCAACAGACTCCAAGAAGAAAGTCCCCTCTGGACTATTGACTAGGAAATTAATGAGGTGACGGCCCCGCCTATCTGTCCACCCATCTGACATTAGTGTACAGCCATATTGCTTCCAAGCAGCCTCATGCTTCTCCTTTATTTTGTTGACCTGTTCCACAGCCTTTCCAAGCAATGGCACCCTCGCCTCATGGTAGCTAGGAGGTCTATATCCAGGTCCATACTGCCCAATGGCCTCACACATAATCTCAAGGCTCCTTGAGTTGATAGCATTGAGTGGTATTCTACACTCATAGAAGAAATTGGCCACATGCATATTGACTTCATCTCTTTCTTCCTTGGTCCTGATCCTTCCCTCCACACTGCTTTGTGCAGGTCCATTCTTAGAATGCCTTTCCTCAACCACTTCTTCAGGTTTTTTCCGAAGCATGGTAATCACTGACTTCTTCTCTTTCTCTTTTGGTCTAGGTGGCAGATTTACAAATTTGAGAGCAGATTGCTTCCTTTTGGATGTTGTCCCTGAACTTGGATGTTGCACAGTTGTACCAGATGACTGAGAGGCAGCATTAGCATTGTTTTGAACCTCCACCACTTGAACACCATCATCATCATCATCTAGGTTTAGCGCTCTCCTTCTTCTTCCCTGAACTAGTGCTGCTTCCATTTCAGCAGCAATTGCTGTTGTTGTCTTCTCACATTTGAGAGCATCTCCATATCCACCTACAAGATGCTCCTTCAATCTCTTGATTCTAGACTTTACTTGAGTTCCACAGAGGATACACTCAACCAAATCTCTGTTGCCAATTTCTGGCCAGAAGCCATACTTCCACCTAGGATCACCAGACCTGGCCTTCCTTTTTGGATCTGTCCTTGGATCATATTCAGCAGTACCTGAGCCTACACTTTGTGGACTTACAGTGTCTTGTGTTGCCATTTAGATGTACTCCTGTGAAACACGACAAGCAAAGTAATTATTACGCCTTAAAAACATTGGAGATCAGTAACGATCAAGCTTTTAGAAGGTGGTTAAACTTGTTCTTTGAATGCCCTCTAGCTAAATTCATCTGTAGCCCATTGCACACACTTTTGGTTAAACTGTAGGCCAAGCTCTTTTGAACAATTCTGGTCCTGGGTGATTCTGTGCTTACCAACTGAAAAAGAATTTCATGTTGCTCAATGCTTCTGTATGTTGGGCCCTGTTGAGAGCTGGAAACAATGTGTGCTTTGAGAAGAAAATAACCAAATCTCCTATTATGTTCGTTCCTATCATACTGGGCAGGTCTCCGGAAGCAGGAAAACCCATAAGCTTTTGAGGAGGGACCTGAAGCTTTGAAGCAAATTGCCCTAAAGTTCCTCCAGTTGAGCAGATGCAGGGGTCACACATGGAGCAAGCTCTAACAGCCAAAGGGTTTGGTGGCTTAACCTCATCGCCATCCCGAACACCTTGGGAACTGGAAGATCTTTGGAGTGCATGTCTGAGCACCTTCTTGCTTTTAGACTAGATGGTGGCGCTTTAGATTATGTTCGGTTGTTAGTTGTCTCGTCTTTCCGTGGATGTTGGATTGTAATGGCATTGTTTTGCTTTCGTGTTCGTGGTAGTTTGGGTGTCTTTGCTCGATTCTGGGCCCCAGATTCCGTCGAGCCATTTACAAAGACATCATTTTGGTTTCTAAAAGCTAATGTGGGTTGGTGAGACTTTTGAACACGTTAATCATTGTACTGTTTTTTGTAATTTCATTGCTTAGCAAGATAATGAAATTTGGGTCATCCTGCTCGGGAAAAAAGAGAATGCTTTGTATTGCATATGACCTCGCCATCCGTTCACAGATCAAACTAACACCGAAAGCAATCGAGTATTAGTTCACTAAACACTAAATAATTAACAACTAGACAGGTTGGTATATAAAAACACAAGTTGCCGTTCAGATTCCGAGACACAAAGTAAAAGTGAGCAAAGCAATCGAGCAAAACAAATATAAAGGATGTCATTGTCCAGTCCGGCTCGAAAGAAGAGGCCACAAGCAAGTAGAAAAAAATACGTCACTTTCCGGTCCGGCTCGAAAGAAGAGGCCACAAGCAAGTAGAAAAATACTGAGCAGAGAATCGGAATCAATCAAGACTGCCTCGGCTCATGGACCAGAGGAGGCGGAGGACCAGAGCAGCGGCAGACCAGATCAGCGTGGGACCAGAGGAGGCAAAGGCTGGCTCGGCAGACGGGCAGAGGACAGAGCACTGCCATGGCCCATGGAGGCTGGTCCTCGCGGCTCAGGCTGCAGCAGCGACTTCTCCCGCAGCGGAGAACGTGTCCATGTGGCGCGAGCAAAGAATGGACCAGGGAGGCGGCGGCGGCGAGACGGCAGAGACAGAGCACTGCCATGGCGCCATGAGGAGGCTGATCTCGCGCTCACTCGCTGGCAATGACTTTCTCCCGGCGGGAGAGAAGCAGCGTCCATGGCGAGGTGTGGCTTCCGGTTCTTCCTCGCTTCTCCCTTCATTGGTAGGTCCGCTTCTCCCGCGCCTCTCTCTCTCAAGCTCTATTTCTCCCGCGCCCACTCTTTTTTTTCCCCGCCTTTTCTTCCGCCATTTCCGCCGCCAAATCGACCCAGATATGGCGCCACCGCCACGCATTTATTAGGCGCGAATCGGACGCCAAATAGACGACTTCCGGACGCCATGGTAGTAAGGCGGACGCCATACCAATCTGAGGCGAGTCGTCCGCCAAGTCGTCCTGCCTGTAGCGCCTTGCCGATTAGGCGACGCCAAAGCGACGCCTTAAAAACATTGAGTGCAGTATCATCGGCTGGGTAGTTCACAAGACGTGGAGTCGTATGAGTCACTAGCTATGTTCCTGTGGGTGTGTGCGACAAAGCAGGCAACTAGACAGATAACCCAAAGATTCGGGAGGGGTTTGGGCACAGTTAGTTAGAAGATGGGTGAGGTTGCAGACGCCATGTACTCCTTTGCCCAGACGGCTGTTGCGGTAAAGGATCCGGAGTACAGAAAAATCCATCCTAGGTTCGGCGAATTCAGACCCTACTTTGATGGGTGCATAGGGGCTTTGGATGGAACACACATCAAAGTGAAAGTTAGTCGCAAGTCACGGTTGGACTTCATGAATAGAAAAGGAGAAGTTACCATGAATGTGTTAGGGATAGTGGACATGGATGGGCTTTTCACATATGTTGGTGCGGGATCTTCTCATGACATGTCGGTTCTGATGTATTATATGGGGCGACCAGATTACCCGCATCCCCCAGCAGGTAAGATTGCATTATCGTCGAGTACGTTGTCAGTTTGTAAAAGTACCTTTGTGAGTAATGGGTGAAATGACGATGAATTGCAGGAAGATACTACCTAGTGGACTCTGGATACGCCGTGCGCGCAGGATATTTGGGGCCATATCGGAATACAAGGTACCATCTGGATGACTTCAGAGGCAGAGAGGCGGAAGGATATATGGAGAAATTCAACTACCAGCATTCAAGGCTTCGCAATGTTGTGGAACGGTCGTTTGGGAAGCTGAAAGCTCGGTGGCACATTTTGGAAGGAGTCCCAAATTATGTGAGACATAAGCAAGTGAAGGTGGTAATTGCATGTTTTGCTCTGCACAATTTTGTGGAGGGCGAAAACGAACGAAGGGCTGCGGCGACGAATCTTCATAGGGCTGTAGATTACAACCTGTCAGCATGGGCGGCATCAGTTGAAAGTGAAGATATGTCAGAAGTGCGAGATTGGATCGCTATGGGACTATGGGCTATGTAGTGCACAGGTATGTACACTGAGGCTGCTGTGTGCTACAAGTATTGATAGATGTAGAAAATGAGTGGTGCTGTAATTTAGTTTATGACAATCTGTGTGGCTGCAGGTAATAATGCAACGGCAAAGGTGTACGTGGAGTAGAGGATTGCATGAAGAAGTTTGCAGATTTGGACCGAGCTTTTGGTGAGTGCTGTGCCTTCTATGCCAATTTGCAATATGTTGTAGTTGTGCCATTAGTAGAGTACTCAATGTGTTGTAATGTTGTGGTATTTGAGAGGTTGTATGTAACTGTATGTGTTTTGTGGTTTAAGGACCTGTAATGGCAACAAATGTGGTACTTTAAGTCACTGTAACGAACTGTAGGTTGTAATGGACTGCCATGTCTTATGGCTGTAATTAATTGTTAGTTTAAGGCAAGTATGAAATGATATTTGGTATGGTGGGAGTGCTGCATTCCCGCCAAGATTGAAATGGAAATGGACTCTGCAGCATGTTTGAATGGCAGTAAATGTTAGTTTGAATTTGAATGTGCTGATGCTGGGCTGCTGGTGGCTGATTTGGATGTGTGGCTGATTCTGGCTGATTTATGTTACTGTAGAATCAGCCAAAATCATCTGGAAACTATACCAGCCGAACATGTTGTGAATTTGTTACTAATTATCATGCTGTCATTTCTATGCTTTTTTTCCATGGTTGAAATTAGGCTAGAACTGATCTTCTGCTATTTAATACCAAATAAACGATTTTCACATGACATTGCATATGCCCAGAACCGTAAGTACATTCATGTATTGCGTCATTCAGCCAGGCTATGGAAATTATCATATTCACAAAACAGCTACCAGACTTCTTGCAATTCTACTTATCTTTTGAGAGCTGTTTTCTGAATATTGCCTCTTCCATAGGCTATCTCTGTGGCACAATACATACAAATATACCAATCCTTCTCCAATGCAGTGTCATCCCATAGTGCAATTTCAGCCTAATAAATTGGCTGATTATTACTTCGCAATATTTATGCCTTTTCTTATTCTTTTTTATTTTTAAAGAAATCTTCTTGTTGTTTGTCTAGTGCTCCTTTTAGACTGTACTAACTAGCTGGCTTTTTTCCTTCTCACTTCTTACATACAAGAATCTAGTTGCTCCACATCTAAGCCTTCGCCCATGATTAGGCTATTCTAGCTTTTAGTTTTTTTATAACATCTATCAGCTGCAGTCGAGTTTACTAAATTAATTCTGTCCTCGTGAAAAGTGAAAACATTTCTGCCTCATTCCTCACCTTTTCTGGTAAATCACACCCTCGAAACAGTAGTAAATGTGATACATTTACTTATCTTTTTCGCGAACATGATGTCTTGGCAACCAAATTTTAAGGTCTACCATGTTAACATGCTTGCAAGGAAACACTTTTAATTCTAGTGTCTAGTTGTGGTTCAACTGCTAGCAGCTACATTCCCGTGTCAGTTTGTGTAAAGATGCAATAATCAAGAAGAAAATGATTCAACTATTTTGATCCATTCATTTCTCTGAATGCTCGCTTTTGCTCTTCTCCTTGAATTTGAATTAGGCTAAAACTGATCTGCATCGGCCATATTCTTCTTGATGCTATCCACAGTAAAAGTACAATGACTATGCAAGTTGTTTCACACCCACCATTTTCTACGACCATCTTCCATTTTATAAACCTGGAAAATCATGTGTATTTCATTTTCTGTAAATGTCCTACTTGTTTGGTAATTGCACAATGACTTTGCTTAAACCAGTAAGCGTGTAATATAGTTTTGAGGGAGTTTTTATTCAAAATCCTGCACAATTGCCAATGTCAGTTATCTATCATTTTAGTTTAACAAATGTGTAGCTTGGCAAACTTATGGGAATACTATTGCTATAACATACAAAGTAGAAAAAGTTCTGTTGGTGCCATGAGAATGGAGCAATATCTGTTATAATTTGAGGCTTTGATCTTATCATCTGTCATTCGATAATGTCTGAAATGTTCTGGAGCTACAGTACATAAAATGCTAGTCCTTTTTTAGCGTAAAAATGCATCTGATGCCCTTGGATTGCATTGCACTTGCGTATTGTACTGTATTATTGTTTGTCTTCTTTACTAGTTTGCTATTTCCTGAAGGATGGTTTTCGTGGAAGGAAATTCACCCCATCGAGAAGCAAATATTGGCTACATTTTTTTTATGGGAAATCAGAGAGACGGACACCCGAGATATACTTGGGGATTAGAAACATAATCATGAACAAGTTTCACTTTAATCCTGAAGTGCATCTGGAGTCCAAAGATTTGTGCGAGTTGTCAATTGGGGAGATGGATGCTCGTCTGGTAATCTTGGAGTTTTTGGCCCATTGGGGCCTAGTTAATTTCCACCCTTTTCCACCAGTTACGCAGGAACGCAAGCTGGTTGAGAGTAAAAGTAGTGCTGAGATAGAGGATGAAATTTCTCCGGTTGATAAGTTATTTCAGTTTGAAACAGTTCATTCGTACCTGGTACCTGTTTCAAAGAAAGCTGAAGCAATATCTCCAGTTCAGTTCACTAGCTTGCTCTCTGAGCCTACACTAGCTGAAGATGCGATAGGTGCAGCTGAGTCTTCTGTTGAGTATCACTGCAACTCCTGCTCAGTTGATTGTTCAAGAAAGTGTTATCATTGTAGGACTCAGGTCAGTTTCACTTCTCCAAGATAATGACTTGTATCGCTATGTGTTTTTCTATAGTGTTTTATCCACAAATGTTTGAGAATTTATTGTGTTGGGTGTTGGAATGTTAGTTGTACATTGTTATGAGCTTTGGAGAAAACAAAACAGGGGTTGCAGGACAACACAGAGAAACAGCTCAGCAAATAGGATTGAATGAGATATATGTGCTGTGATGGGACATATACTTTTGTTTCTTGCTTCCTCATAGATGATGGTCTCATGTGTACATTCAGTAGTTCCTATAAGATATTGTGCTGTCGAGTTGAACTTAGATGCCTGTTTCTTCTTTCTTATTTATGATGCCTCCTTGTTCCTCCTAGGTTGTGGTGGAGTTTGTATTTTCAAAAAATATTGAACTAACCAACTAGAAGATAAAGATATTTAGCTAATTGATGATTGTTCGAATCCAACTAAAAAATCAACCTAAACAAAAATGATTTGATCTGCTGTTCCTTCCGTGTGTTCTTTTAGCCCATATGGCCAGTTGGCTGTCATACCTTGACATATAAAATCGGCATGTACAATCTGTGCTATTTGAGGAATATAAGGATGAATAAACAGCCTAGTACGCTTTCCATTAAGAATTAGTGAATTACTCCATGCACTGGATCAAGGTAATGAGAATCAGAATAGCGATGATTTTTGCTTCCTTGTATTTCCCTGTATCTATAAAAAGGGCGTACCCAATGCAGAGAACTCCCGCTCTGTGCGGGGTCTGGGGAAGGGTGTCAGTGGCAAGCCTTACCCTCGCCTGTGCAATGCGAGGAGACTGCGACTCGAATTCGGGACCTTCCGGTCACAGGCGGTAAGACTCTACCGCTTGCACCAGGCCCGTCCTTCATTCCCCTGTATCTATATGTTTGCTTTTTTATTGACATATTGGCTGGTGAGCTGACAGTTAATACTGAAAAGAAGTTATGCCAAGACAGGCATGAAAAGAAAAAAATGGCTGTGGCTAGACAAAAGCATATGCTTGCTGCAATAAACGTGTGAGTTACCTTGCTCTGTTAGTATCCAAGTTCTCGCTTCTTCCTTGAACCTTGCTTAGGAGTGGGATTGCTGTTTTCTCTTTATGTTCCAAATTGCACGCACTGTTCATTCCACACCCACTCAACATGCTAGGATCACCAAAATCCAGACCCCACATTTTGGGAAGTTGTGGTTGCCATGGTTGACCACCAACTGTGGAGTGAGTTGCTGGGCTAGTGGTTGAAGATGAAGCTCTGGAAGTGCTACGCAAGTCGCAAGATGCTCCCAGATACTTTATCCTCTATTTGAAAAACCAACCACCTAGCTCGCTTAGGTGACTTGTAGCTGCTGTGGACCACCCTACCACTGTGTTATGAACTTATGATTAAAGGATCATTAGAGATAAGCATCGCTGGGAGGATTGCTGGGCGGCACCGGCTGCTAGGGGAGGATTAGACTCTCGGGAAGATGTTCCTTCCTTTATAGCCCTTAACACAGACCATGTGCCTGCCTTTATAGAGCTAGGCATGTAACGTGCACCCCTAACACTAACAGTATATCTGACAAAGTAACCATAATTCGTACCTTATCTAACTAACTTGGATAAGGCCTAATCCTATCTCTTGTGTTGCACATGAGGGAGGGCTGGGCTGTCCCTGGTCCCTGCCTCACACCCACAATACACTGTACCTAATGACCACCTGGCATTCCTAATTGGTGATTGCCGCTAGGTTCCACCCCATTGCCTACCTAACGCCTGGTGCCTTTTTGAACATTTTAAGTGGCATATATAACTGGTCGATTCAAATCTCATTATGTTTTATTGAGAAGTTATGCTTGCGCAAAGCTGCAGCTGAGTAATTCATGCTAATTGGTTCGACAATTTATCTTTTTAGTTAAGCAATGATATATGTTCTTAGTCTCGCATAAATTCTATGCAACTGGGTATCATACTTTACCTTGTGCATTATGAACAAAACAGATGAATGTTGGGGTGTTGTACACTTGTACCCCAAAAAGGGGCAGTTGTTATGTGCGGCAAAGTCTATAGACGCCGTAGTGGCTAGACTCAACCGTGTGTCTTAGAAATTGGGGGATCACCAGTCACCGAAGCATACGAGTGGTTGGGTTAGTTCGGATTCATAGTCATTAGGGTTTGGTTAGTTGAGATTAAAGAGTCCTAAAAGATAGGGATAGTTGGTTAGGTTGAGTCCTATATGTATCAAACTCTATGGATCAATAAAAGGTTAGCCTAGGGTTGAGTTTATCTCACCTTGGTTCTGGGCGTTCTTGTTCACGATCCACCTCTTGCATGAAGTCTTGACCAGGCGCCGAGCACGCAGCGCCGCCCGATTCATCGTCGAGGCTTCAAGCCCGTGCCTCGCACCTTCCACTCCTACAGCCTTCGATCCCTAAGCCGTAACGACCTGGTATCAGCCATGTCTGCTCCTGCGGCTTCCGCGCCCATACCGCCCCCCTCCTCCGCCGCCAACCCATCAGTCACCACGCCCATCAACTCCGCCGCCATAGTTACCATGACAGCGCCCATTGTCTCGGCGACGGTGCCCGGGCTACAGCCGGATTTCTCCCCGGCAGACCTTGCCCAGGCGTTCAACGGGATGACCGCTGCCATGGGCGCGTTGCAGCGCCAAGTCGCGGAGTTGTCACTGCGCGTCGCTGCAATTGAAAGCCCGCCCTCCTCCTCCACGTTTCAGTACGGGCTGCCAGGCTATGGTGGTCTCCCTCCACAGAGACCGGTGCGGGAGCTGCCGTTCTCTTCACCGGCTCCTCAGATCACCCTGACAACACAGATGGCGACGATGCCACCCGGCGGATGATGGCGGCAACCGACGTCACAAAGGCGTGCCGATCACGGAGATCTCCTTTCCGCCGTCCCCTCGCCAAGATGCCGTCCCCGCCCAGATCATGCAGTTACGATCACATGCACCAATGCAGTCGACAACATCAGTGCATCACCGGCCTTCAGACCCTGAACAGTCAGCGGTGCCGCGCTACCACAAGCTGACGTTTTCGTGCTATGATGGGGCGGAAGATCCGTTGGGATGGTTGCTCAAGTGCGAGCAGTTCTTTAGAGGACAGCAGACCCGGGCCGTCGATTGGGTGTGGCTCGCATCCTTCCACATGACCGGCAAGGCCCAGATGTGGTATACCGTTCTCGGCGGGGCGGCCGGCGGCCGACATGGGATGATTTCGATCGGCTTTGTCGCCAGCCGGTTCGGCCTCCCTCGGCACCAACCATCTCGCTGATTTGGCAAGGCTGCCGTTCTCGTCGAATGTTGAAGCTTATCTGGACGCTTTCCAGGCCAGATTAGCGCATGCAGCCGCCTCTCGCCGTACCAGCAAGCACAGCTATTCACCGGTGGACTGCCAGATCATATCCGTGTGGATGTCGAGCTCCACGATCCGCAAGACCTGCAGCAGGCGATGCGCTTGGCACGCGCATATGAACGCCGGAACGGCCCTCAACAGCTGGCTCTACCGGCGCCACCGGCGCGCCCTGGCCGCCGTGTCTTCACCGCTACCACGGCGTCGCCCTCAGTATCAGCCGTGGTGCCGACCACCTCAGGGCCATCTACGCGGGCATTCAAGAAGTTATCACCGGAGGAGATGGCGGAGCGCCGCAAGCAAGGCCTCTGTTACAATTGTGATGAGCAGTATGTCCGTGGTCACAAGTGTGCCCGCCTATTCTATTTGGAGGCCTCGGACTACATTGTGGAGGAGCCGGAGGACAGCGATGAGTCAGTCCAATCCACAACAGCGACAGCAGAACCGCCCCCGATCAACACCGAAGCTCCGCGGATCTCGCTTAATGCCATCACCGGCATTCAACAAAGAACAACGATGCGGCTCTACGTTCGTCGGGGACTACACGACTTTTGCTCTCACGGATTTCGGTCTCGCGATAACCGTGCGCGCGGACATCACGCGCCGCATTGGCCTCCACTTCCAGCCATGCCCCGGTGCAAGCGTCCTCGTCGCGAACGGAGACGCGTGTCGTGTCGCGGCTGCCCTAGCCCAGAGACGTCGCCATCAGGATTGCCGATGAAACGCGTTCACGGTGGACTGCTATTCTATTCCGCTGGATGGCTACGACATGGTCCTCGGCATCAAGTTCCTTCGCACATTGGGGCCCATCTTGTGGGATTTCGACGACCTATGTCTGGCTTTCACAAGGGCAGGTCAACGTGTCTTCTGGAGAGGGATCGGCTCCACACGATATGACGTTCAGTCGACACGCCTCCATGTTGTACAACCAGACGGGCCGGCCCTATTACAGACCCTACTGCAGGAGTTCGACGACATCTTTGTGGAGCCAAAAGGACTGCCGCCGGCTCGACGTTGTGATCACCACATCCACTTATTGCCAAACACACGGACACCAGTGGCGGTCCGCCGTCTGAGATACCCGCAACTTCGAAGGACGAGCCGAGACCCGGGTGTCTTTGCCATGCTACTGCAGGGGATTATCCGGCCGTCAACTTCGGCGTTCTCGGCTCCGGTGTTGTTGGTCAAGAAGCCGGATGCCTCCTGGCGCTTCTGTGTTGACTACCGGGCTCGACGCAGCGCCGCGGTTGAGACAAGTTCCCCATCCCAGCCAGAGGAGCTGCTCGACGAACTTGGCGGCGCACGGTTCTTTACAAAGTTGGATCTTCGTTCCGGTTACCACCAGGTCCGGATGCATCAAGAGGACATCGAGAAGACGGCGTTCAGAACACACCATGGACACTTCGAGTTTCTGGTCATGCCATTCGACCTCACCAATGCGCCGGCAACATTTCAGAGCCTAATGAATGCCGTCCTACAGCCGTTTCTGCGTAAGTTTGTCTTGGTTTTCTTCGATGACATCTTGATCTACAGCCCCTCGTGGACAGCACATCTCCAGCAGGTAAAGGCGGTCCTGTTAGCGCTTCGTGAGCACCAGCTGCGGCTCAAGCGCAGCAAATGCTCATTCGCCGAGTCCTCGGTGACATATCTCGGGCATGTGATCTCAGCTGACGGTGTGGCCATGGACATCACCAAGGTGGAGGCCGTAGTAACATGGCCGCAACCGCGATCGGCGCGCGGCCTACGCGGATTCCTCGGTTTGGCCGGCTACTACCGCAGGTTCATCAAGGATTACGGCGCCATCGCGGCACCCCTAACCAGGCTACTTCGGCGCGACGCGTTCTCCTGGTCGGATGAGGCTATGCTGGCGTTTGACTCCCTCAAACGAGCACTGTCTACAGCGCCGGTGCTGCAGCTGCCGGCATTTGACCGGCCCTTTACGGTGGACTGTGATGCGTCGGGAACGGGATTCGGCGCTGTTCTTCATCAGGGCACCGGTGCAATTGCATTTTTCAGTAGGCCCTTTGCGCAGCGACATATGAAATTGGCGGCTTATGAGCGTGAATTGATCGGTCTCGTGCAGGTTGTGCGACACTGGAGACCATACTTGTGGGGGCGCAGTTTTGTGGTACGTACCGACCACTACGCACTAAAGTTTTTACTAGACCAGCGCTTGTCGACGCCGCCGCAACATCATTGGGTAACCAAGCTCTTCGGCTATGACTTCACAGTGGAGTTTCGGCCAGGTACATTCAACATTGTGGCAGATGCTCTTTCCCGCCGTCACGATGACGATGCTGCTGCTCATGCTATCTCTGGTCCGTCATTTGAGTTGTTTGCTGAGCTACGACGAGAGGTGCAGGAAAACCCGGATTTGCGCGCCCTCCGAGACACGGGTGTCGCCCAGCGCGGCACGCCCTGGCGCGTGGTGGATGGACTGATACTTTACGGCAACAGGGTGTTCATCCCAGAGGGGTCGCCGCTTGTGCCCATGGTACTGGACCTTGCTCATTCAGCAGGCCATGAAGGGTTCCAAAAGACTTTGCAGCGTCTTCGCTCCGAATTCTTCATCGACCATGACAGCGGGCTGGTCCGTGACTTTGTCCGCTCTTGCGCCGTGTGTCAGCAGAACAAGGTGGACTCCCTCCGGCCAGCCGGTCTCTTGCAGCCCTTGGAGGTACCTTCGCAGGTGTGGGCAGACATAGCTCTTGACTTCATTGAAGGGCTCCCGCGGGTCCATGGAAAGAGTGTCATATTGACTGTGGTCGATAGATTTTCGAAACATGCTCATTTTATACCCCTCAGCCACCCGTACACAGCTATGTCAGTGGCCAAGGCGTTCTTTGACGGCATAGTTCGTCTCCATGGGTTCCCCAATTCAATTGTCAGTGATCGGGACCCGGTATTCACAGGACACATTTGGCGTGATCTCTTTAAGCTTGCCGGTGTCACACTACGACTCAGTACGGCATTCCATCCGCAGACGGACGGTCAATCGGAGGCGGTCAACAAGACGATAGCTATGTATCTCCGGTGCATCACAGGTGACCGCCCGCGCGCATGGCTTGAGTGGCTTCCTTGGGCGGAGTATTGCTACAACACGTCTTATCATTCGGCCCTTCGCACATCGCCGTTCCAAGTTGTTTACGGTCGACCGCCACCAGCCTTGCTGCCGTATACTGCTGGTTCCTCTCGCACAGATGCTGTTGATGCCCTCCTGCAGAACCGCGATGACTTCCTCGCTGATGTGCGTGCCAGGCTGCTCCAGGCTCAGGAGTATGCCAAGCGCCAATATGACCGCACTCATCGTGCTTTGGAGTTTCAGGTGGGTGACTGGGTTTGGCTCCGCATCCTGCATCGTCCTACACAGACTCTGCTGCCGGGGCGTCGCGGCAAGCTCAGTCCGCGGTTCGCCGGGCCTTACCAGATCGTCGAACGCATCGGTGAGGTGGCCTACCGCTTGTTGCTGCCGGCTGGAGCCAGGATTCACGACGTCTTCCATGTCGGGGTGTTGAAGCCATTCCGCGGTTCTCCTCCATCTACAACGCCGGCACTGCCTCCGCTTCACCAGGGACGTCGACAGTTCCAACCAGACCAGGTCTTGCGTGCACAGCTGCGTCGCGGGGTTTGGCATGTGCTCGTCAAGTGGGCAGGTCTTACGCAAGCTGACGCATCATGGGAACCACTGGAGGATTTCCGCGCCGAATTCCCCACCTTTCAGCTTGAGGACAAGCTGTTTGCCGAGGGGGGGAGTGATGTTATGTGCGGCAAAGTCTATAGACGCCGTAGTGGCTAGACTCAACCGTGTGCCGAGCTGGGGGGGATCACCAGGTCACCAGGGGGCGCACAGGGTTGGGTTAGTTCGGATTCATAGTCATTAGGGTTTGGTTAGTTGAGATTAAAGAGTCCTAAAAGATAGGGATAGTTGGTTAGGTTGAGTCCTATATGTATCAAACTCTATGGATCAATAAAAGGTTAGCCTAGGGTTGAGTTTATCTCACCTTGGTTCCTGGGTGTTACTGTTCACGATCCACCTCTTGCCGCAAGTCTTCAGCCAGGCGCCGAGCACGGCGCTGCCAGTTCATCGTCGAGGCTTCAAGCCCAGGCCTCGCACCTTCCACTCCTACAGCCTTCGATCCCTAAGCCGTAACAGCAGTCTTTGGCTTTACATGAGGCAGCTTAACCTCAGTCTGACTACTTTCGGTTACATTACAGTATGTTCACCTAGTGGTTTCACTGCGCATATTTTAGATGACTGGCCATGCAACCATCTTATTGTGGCACCTTTACCCTGTCACAAAAGACTATTTAATTATCGTTACTGTCTGATATATCTGTTATTTATTTGGGGTCCAATGCTGATTAATTTCATCTTAATCATTTCCAGGTAGACTTATTTTTGTTCTGAGTGCTACAATGAAGGAAAATTTGATGAAGGCATGTCAAAAGCTGATTTCATCCTTACGGAATCTGCAGAAGTTCCAGGGTCTGGTGGTTCTAACTGGACTGACCAGGAGACATTGCTTCTTTTGGAAGCGTTAGAAATTTTCAAAGGAAAAGAATGGGGTGAGATTGCTGAGCATGTTGCTACAAAAACAAAAGAACAGTGCATGTTATACTTCCTTCAAATGCCAATTTCTGAACCATTTCTAGATGGTGAAGATTTCAATGAAACACCCCAGAAGATCACAGAACAGGATTCAGAAATTGGTCCTTCTGATGTACCTGACGAAATGGATGTAGATGGCAATGCAGAAGGAAAAGAGAGCACTGATGAAAAAGCTTACAAGAAAGCAAATTCTATTTCTTCAGAAACAAGAACAAAATTAGCTGACCAAAATGTTTCTGCGAAAGAGGATACCATGGATGCAGGTGATGATGATCTAGTTGCTTCCATTGATGATGAATCAAATAAATCTTCATTGATGGATCCTGCACATCAGAAAAATTCTGCTAATGCTGATGTCACAAATCCAACTTTGTCATTGATGTCCTGAGATCTACTTTTGAAGCAGTTGACCACTTTCTGGGCCAAGAGGACTTGGGTTCATTTGCTGAAGCGGGAAATCCTGTGATGGCACTAGTGAGTACACGCTTCTGAGTTTGTTAATCTTTTACTACATACATGACAAGAGCTCTCTTTGATGCTTGGATAAATAACTTGCAGGCTGCATTTTTGTCTTCTCTTGTGGAACATGATGATGCTGTTTCTTCATGCCATAGTTCGTTGAGAGCTATATCAGAGATATCTCCCGCTCTCCAACTGGCAACTGAGCACTGTTTTATTCTTCCAGATCCACCAAGTGACCTTAAAGATCCAACTTCCACTTTCAGGTAATGTAACTTATCCTAAGACACTTGTTTGGTGTAGACCTGCAAGTGCCAAATTTTACTGATAAAAAATTGGAATTGCAGCGCTTGCACAGGCAGTGAGTGCCAAGAAGGTGCTGATACTACTCAAAATGTGAATGGTAATGATAAAGACAGCAGTGAAAGGGAAGAAAATGATTTAGGTCTTGAAAAGTAGAATGCTGCATTCACCTCACAGAAAGAGCACCTGGAATTATCTGACACAAAGGAAAGAGGTCCTGAGGCAGAGGCCAAATCCAACAGCACAAAGGATTCTGATAATCCAATTGCTAAGGTGGACAGTAGTGTAGCATCTGATAAGATAAGAGATGGGTGTAATGCTAATGCCATTTCATGTTCTGCTACTTCAAATAGTGCAACTGAACCTAGTTCCATACCTTCCCAAGAAGCCAGTGCAGCAAGTACAAAGGACACAACTAACCCTGGACAAGTTGAAGGGGACAAACCAAGTTCTGAGGAATTACCAGCTGATGTTTCACCTTCACAAGGGAAGATAGAGCCCAAGAAGATTGAACATGCACCTGCTGCCTCATCTAGTGTACAACAGCGTGAGCGCAAACAAGCTGGAAATGGCAACACTGAAGGTACTTCATTCAACCTTATACATTATTTTCTCGAACTGGCCTCATATATTATATTGTTTTCATTACACGCCATTGAGGAATCTGCCTCAGTCCTGGGGTTCCAAACTCCTCCATGATACCATGACCAGTAACAGATTTCCTAGCCTCCATGGGCATGAAGAAACTGGTTATCTGAAATATAGGATACAAGATTCAACAAGTTAAAAATATTTTTTTTCTCCCAGTTTAATTATTCTGCTGCAGCTGGTGTTTATTAATTGACTTCCCATGCCTATAGAATGTTCTCCACTCTCTAGAAACTAAACTTTGACTAAGATGGAGTTTGTGATAGATTACTAGTGACTACAACTCATTGTCATACGAATGTAACTGTTTTAAGTTGCAGATGTAATTGTGTCTTTTGTGTTTGAAAAACAATCAACATATTATAGATTGCATGACTGATCATCAATACTTACGGAGTTTAACTCTCATGTTGCATGAGGGCCTATATTATGTGGCAGAGGGAGTCATTGTATGTTGTATGTAGTTTATGGTGCATGGCTTTAGCCTCTGTGCTCCATGAGCTCCTTCGGTAGTTCACCTTGGACTTAGTTTTGTAGAGTCATGCTGGTCGTGTTCGTTTAAAACCTAAAATCTTAGAGTGTGGCATGTCTGTAACTTGTCTTTTTATGTGTGCATTCTGTATGTTTGCGAGTGGTCTTTTTGGCTTCTCCTCTGTACTTTTTATTCTCTTCTCAATGCAATGGCGTGCAACTCTCTTGGGTTGTTATATGGAAAGCGCACTGTAAATGCAGCTTAACTTTCTTGTCATTTCCCTGAGGTATATGGATTATAAAATAATTTCCATGATGTAGAAATAATTTGGTCATATGTCGTCACAGAACCTAAAAGCAATGAAAACATTGCGTCCGATGATGATCCCATAATAAGGCTACAGCGAGCAGCTGGTACTGCCATTTCAGCAGCTGCAGTGAAGTCTAAGTTTCTTGCGGAGCAGGAGGGTTATATTCGGCAACTAGCTGCAGTTGTGATCGAAAAGCAGGTACTTCATATGCCATTTATGTTTTGATCAAAGTTTCAGATTCCAATGCCCCATTTTTTTCAGTTAGGCTGTTGGCATAGGTACTAGGTAATTTTAGAAGATATTTATACCTGTTCTCTGTTTCCCAAATGTTGCGGGCATTGCCTCTGGCCCCCTGACATCCTATCTCATGCAGTTTCAGAAGATAGAAACAAAAATGTCGTTTCTCACCGACGTTGAAAACTTGGTCTTACGATCGAGAGAATCAACAGAGAGGATGCGGAAGAAGCTTATGTTGGAGCAGAGCATGATAATTGCTTCTCGAATGGGTGCGGCCGCTGCTGCCGCTTCCAGAACAAACCAGCAGGGGGCTCGGGGGCTCGACTCCCAGTAGGGTATGCCTTGAATCCGCAGCTGCGGCGCCCTGGAAGCCTAGATGCTGTGCTGATCCACTGATCCAACCTTGAAACGAGTATATATATGATATGATGTAGGCCTGGCTTATGTAGGTGTGCTAATCCGCCTTGTATAAATGCAGTGTTACCGTGTCTATGGTAACTTCTAGGCGTCTGAGGTCAAGCTAAGGTAGTAAGGTGTGGCTACAATGAACCCCCTGTTCTCAGCTTGTTGCCATATCATGGTTAACTTGTAGGCAGAATTTATGTAGGAATATATAATCTCACCCGTTACATCATACATGCACGTGTTATTGGCAGCTTATGGTGTGGCGCACGTGGCTGGTGGTCACTGGCCAAAGCCGAAACGTCCACGTCAACCAACGAAGCGGGCGGGCAAGCGGCAAAGAGGAGTGGCGGAAGCCCAACCACCGAGCCCTCCCCCTCTCAAAGAAAATCCAGCTGCCACACCGAGCCGGAGCCGGAGCCGGAGCCACGAGCCCAAGCCACTCCCACTCCTCACCATGAAGCCGGCGGCGCGGCGGCCGCCGCTGCTGCTGTGCGCGCTGGCGGCGGCGGCGGCGCTGTCCATCCTACTCATCGCGCCGCCGCCGCTCGCGTCGCACCTCTCCTCCCTGCTCCTCGCCTTCCCGGCCTCGCCCTACGCAGGTAGCCCAAAGCTAGTCTTCCTCCTGGCCGGCCAGTCCAACATGGCCGGGCGCGGCGTCGCGCCGCCCCCGCCGCTCCCGCTCCCGCCGCCGTTCCGCCCGCACCCGCGCGTGCTCCGCCTCGCCGCGTCGCGGCGCTGGGTCGTCGCGGCGCCGCCGCTCCACGCCGACATCGACACCCACAAGGCCTGCGGGTTCGGCCCCGCCATGCCCTTCGCGCACCGCCTCCTCCTCCACGCCGCCGACTCCGACGACCTCGTCCTGGGCCTCGTGCCCTGCGCCGTGGGGGGCACCAGGATCTGGATGTGGGCTAAAGGGGAGCCGCTCTACGAGGCCGCCGTCGCCCGGACGCGCGCCGCCGTTGCCGCTGGCGGCGGGACCCTCGGCGCCGTCCTGTGGTTCCAGGGGGAGAGCGACACCATCGAGCTCGACGATGCCACGGCCTACGGCGGCAGGATGGAGCGCCTTGTCAACGATCTCAGGGCCGATCTCGGCGTCCCCAATCTGCTCGTCATACAGGTCAGCACGCGGATTCCTCATCTTCTTCTTTACCCCCACTCTCAATGTGCTTCCGTCATGGCGTCAGCTCGAGTTCAGGACCAATTTTATTTCTTTATTTATGGAAATGGTCTAATTCGACATTGCTAAACCGAGCCTGAAAGTTAGCTCCTTTCTTACTAACAAACATCAGCGCCACTTCAGCTGTTCAGCATGATAGCGTAAGCTCTCATTTTATTAGATTAGATGATAAATAATCCTACTTTTACCGAAATCAACTGGCAAAGTCGATCACTTGTGTCAACTTCATTTCAATTTTCGAGGAGCTCCGTTGAAAATCAGTTTAAATGGAGGGACATCTTGATTAGCACAACCTCAAAGTGCTCAATTTTGATTTACTTTACTAATTATTAAAATTAGTTTGCCCATTGGCCTAGTATGGGGAACAAATGCTGAACATGCCAATCATACTTTCACTTAACTGCTCTTTTGCATTCATTTGAAAACAAAGCCGGATTTTAAAAGACCATGTCTAGGACATGCTCAGATGGAAATGTATATGTGCCCCTTTGAGTTCATAGTACTCAACCCACATGAAAGCATTTCAAAATGTCAAGAGATACATAATTGAAGACAAAAACATATGCCCCTTTAAGTTCATAGAACTCAACCCACATGAAAGTATTTCAAAATGTTAAGATCATGATTGAAGGCGCTACTGATTGATATGCGGAGTACTATTATCATAGGTTTAGTTAACTCGATTTGTAGAGTCTAAGAATATGCAACATATAAAAACCTCCACACAAAAATGAGTGAATGACTGAAACATATGTGCTACTAAGGTTTCAACATAAGTAATAAAATGCTGCTTATGACTCACTGAAAGTACTCTAGTTGTGAATGTGCTAACTAGGTTACTAGGGCCACCCTTCTGTGAGCAATTGTAGTGTAGAAAGGAAACCATCATTTAGCTACCAAGTCTTCTTGATGCAACGATACGTCCAACCAAAGGTGGATGTCACAGAAAATGGCAGCATACCAGAGACCACCAAATTAAACATAATAACTCATCAGAAAAATAGCTCCAAAGCTGCCATTTGCATAGAAATTTGAGAAATTCTGTGGCTCTTGTCGAACTTCCTTTTAAAAATGATTGTCTTCCTCCAAGTAACACATTACAGTACACCCTACCTAATAGAAAGGTATGACTTCTTCATCACTATCATATTTCTTGCCTTTGACTCAAAGTGGTTATATTTTTTGTCTTTATGATTAGAGCACGGGACTGATGACCAATTCAACATTGTTTGAAAAATGTATGATCTGAATGTTCTTTTTTTTTTGCCTCCCTTGAACAAGCTGATTTGAATGTCTAAGGAGGGCACTTTACCACTAGGAGCAAGGAGGTTGTTGCTTGTCACTCTTCAGTTTACTCTTTATATTATAATAGTGCATCTGATCATTGGGATGCTGGGCTCCACCGCTGCAGTTGAGATATGAAATGGAGTCCAGTAACAGTACTTTGGCCTAATGAAGGTTCAGTACATGTGATGTCATGGAAAAGAATATTCTCTATTATTATTTCTGCGCCTTGGTGGTTTTGTTTAGACACGTACATTGGGGTTCACACATTGACTGGGAAACATTTTATATTTTAGTAAAGTTCTAAAAATCTTGGAAGAACGTGTACTGCCCTCGTTTCCGACATTTAAGCAAATCTTTGCTCTCTTACATCTAATTGCAGCTTCCAAATGTCTTTGGTCAAAAAATCGTGAATCTTGTGATACCTTTTTTTCCCCTCTTGCATCAGTTTATCCCGAGTGAGAAACTAGAAACTTATATGGCACTTCTTAATTTCAGGTTGGTCTTGCATCAGGAGAGGGGAATTACACCGATATTGTCAGGGAAGCTCAGAGAAATATCAAGCTTCCTAACGTCATTCTTGTAGATGCAATAGGATTGCCGCTCCGCAATGATCAGTTGCACCTCTCCACAGAAGCTCAACTCCAGCTGGGTGACATGCTGGGACAAGCCTTTTTGAAATTTAACTCATCCATGGATTCAAGACAATGACGTCGATATCGTTATTGAACCTGTTGTTAGGTGTAGTCAAATGACAAATACCATTCTTTTGGAGTATTCTGTTGTAGATTGTAGATCATTGTACAAGAGGAGTGAGTTCTATCCATGGGTGCACTACAAAATGTAATAAAGGGTAGGGTACCCAGTAGAAACTCAGCTCAACCAATTCCAGTGTTGTATATTACAGGACAAAAACAGACAGCCTCCATTACGCAAATACAAATCCACATCATTTGTGGGATTCTGATTCCGGTCAGGGCCCCTTTGGATCACATGCACAAACTTTGGTTATGTTAAAAAATTCAGGATCCTGTTCATGACTGTTTATATAGGGTGAAAGCTAGTACGATTGAGCTGTTGAGTCGTTATGTCTCATTTTGTTTACTTATAGATGAGAGAAGTTAGTGCCATGGACGTGATTTGCAGTACCATTGCGAGCTTGATAGACAGATTGCCAGAAGAACGCAATGACAATCACCGATCCACGGCTGCAATGTTTAGATTTGAGCTTTTCTTCCATATCGGTGTGGCTTTCTTCTACTAGTACCTCTAGTGTGCATCGTCGTGACTACGCATAATGAAATGTGTATGCGTAGGACTCACTCCCACAAAAGAACCCATATACGTGGAAACTATAAGTGACAAAAACAATGATGAGTTATCTTGCATACTAAATCGGTTGACAGGGGGACCTCATCTTTGGCCATGGAGGCGACACCGCTTTTATAACCAGAAGCAATGCTAGTAGGTGGGATCAACGGTGGAGAATCAATGTTGTGATAGTTAGATAGATCTAACGACCGAAAATAACTAATACTGACGGGCCAGAACGAAAACCAACATTGAAATGCAAAATGTCATTGCCGGTTAGCCATAACCTGGTAGGGATATATCACTGCTGGGTTATAGCATAAGCCGACAGTGATATGGTACCTATCACTGTAGGCTGTAGCTTTAATATATGACTGCCGGGTGGTAGTCTTAGTCGGCAGTGATGAACGCCATCACTGCCGGGTGATTAGGTTCGTGCTAATTTTTTTAGATCGTCGCATTACCACGTGGCAGTGATTAGTAATCATTGTTAGCTCAAGCACACCTGACAGTACGTGTTCGGGCATAGCGAGAGAGAGGAAGTGAGTGCTATGCTAGTGCTAGGAGAGGTGTTCCCTGTGCTGACAGGTGGGGTAGGTCGAGAGTGGTTGGCAGCTGAAGGTTTGCATGTACTAGATGTTACCGTGTTCTGACTAAAGCTCAGCTCCTGGACCGCCCGACAGTTCAATCGAATTGGCCATCAGTGCCAAAAAAAGAGAGCTAGTTTCGGACATATTTAACATGTAGGAGAAGCCTGAAGCGAATTAGGGCCCTAATTTGGTGGCACCTGCTTAAGTTACTCTAAGAAACCTATTAGGTGCTTAATTTCTGGTCGATCAAGCTTGCATTAGAAGAGGTAAACTACACTAATATCGTCAGGGAAGCAAGCTCACAAAGAAAAATAATATCTAGCTCTCTAATAACATCATTCATTCGTGCGGCCGGATGCAATGTGATTGCCACTCCGAGATGATCGCACCTCTACAGAAGCTCAACTCCAGCAGAAGATGACGTGCTGGGGCTATTCGAAGTACAACTCATTCGCAGAGTATTCAGTGAATAATACAATGACGTCGATACCGTTGTCGAGACTGTTGTTAGGTGTAGAGTCATACCAAATCGACAAGTATGTACCATAATCGTTCTGTTGTGGAGTGTAGATCATTCTACATTGTACATGAGTCACTTCAGAGTGTAATATATAAACGGTGTCCGGCAGAAATAAATTTAGCTCAAACATACATTTCTCCAGTGTATTGCAGGAGGAAAACATGCACCTTCAGTTGTGGAAATACAAATTAGCACGAAATTGACCAGAATTCAGGTCACAGTCGATGATCCGGAAAACTCTGGCGCCTCCTCCTCTGCTCTCTCAAAAATGTCACTGCATTGCAGGCAGCATCTGAACCGTCAAGCTCACACGATTGATGTGTCCGAACTGTTTGTTGATAGCCTATATACGGTGATCTTCCTCCTACCGTTCACCACACACTGCAATTAGCTTCTCGTTCTCTTGCAAAGAGCACAAGGGGCAGATATATGGAAGCTTGATGAACAAAGATGGCGAGGCTCGCGCCATTGTCGCTGCTGCTGTTCTCCCTTGTCATCATCACCTCATGTAAGCAGCATGCAGCTTAACCTATGCTGGATCGAAGATGATAATCCGTTTTTGTTGCTACTACGATCCAGCTTATAAGTACGTACACTACGTGGTATATATGTATACACACAATTCCTATCCATCGGGTGCCTGATTATTTTAGTCTGTTCAGCGACGTTGCTACCTGCAGTGGCTAGTAGAAATCCCGTTTCTTGCCTCTTTTGTTTATCACATCATCCGCCCTCTTGTGATTTATTAATTGTTTTTTGTATTATAATTATTATTAAAATTTTGTTCTTGTCTAACTATAGAAATAAATTGTTAATTATTTTTGTGCTAACAAAAATTAAATTTTGTTGGGTTTGTGATTTTATTCATTTCGGACCAAAAAATTGCACATTATAACTACAGAAATCGCAACAAACTAAAACTGTAATTTTAGCATAAAATTTATACAATAACCGTTGCCTGAAAGAAAGCTAAAATTCAAGCACATAAATTTTAGCAAATCCCGTATGTATACGATGCATCGTCTATCATGCATGCATGTGCAGCTGACGAGGTGCTTTCTTCGTCGGAGGTTGACGGCGGCGGGCCGGCAGCGGACGCCGTGGTGTGCGACACCATCTTCGACATCTGCGTGGGGTCGTGCTGGAAGTCAGGCAAGTGCATGCGCTGCTGCAAGCACCATGGCTTCGTCCACGGCAAGTGCAGCCTCAAGGACGGCGACGGCTGCTACTGCTGCCACACTCCCGACCAGAAATGAGCAGCAGCAGCTCACTCTATCACCTTCCTCCCTGTCCATCGTATAGTCGATCGTACTACTACGAGTCTACGAATACCCCTCGTGTGTGTGTGTGTGTGTATATATATATATATATATATATATATATATATATATATGTAATTTGTCCAAATATGTAACTTGTCTCTAGGATCTTTGGTTTTGATGTCGCAAATAACGAAATACGAAACCTCATTTCGTACGTACACAGCTCCACGGTGTCATCTTGCTAAATTCATCTGGTGTATTATTAGAGAGGTCTGGCAGTTAAGTGCCCAGATCCTTGATGGAATTTTCCAGTGATTGGTTCATTTTTGCAGATTTTACATGGGCTCTCTGGACGACTAGGAATAAGATGGCGATTGAGAAAAACTTCCCTAAGACTCCTACTGATGTCATCTATGTCGCACTCTCGTTGATGCAGAAATGGAGCATTCTGCTTAAGTAGGAGGACAAACGCCGTGTTCTGCAAGTTGAGTCACTACTAGCAGGATGGCTGAAAGTGTTTACTCCTAGCGCCTTAGTCTCTACTGATGTCTGCGAGCTTTAGTTCTCATGTTTATTATCAGTGAGCTTTGAGTGCTAGTTGTTTCAGTTCTCTGATTTTGTTATGACTTGTAGCTGGTAACCCCAACAGATGTTTGTATCACATTGCTTTCTTAAAAGCAGAGGTTAACTCATTCTAAAAAAAACGTACACAGCTCCATGTCCACGAGATGATGATAAGTGTCAACAAAACTTAATGATCAGTTCATCCAAAATCTTGATAGCGGACCGATACGTTCGAAAAAAATATTAAAGAACTTACATAAATAAATCAAAAAATAGGGCCAATCACACTCAAGTTTTGGGTAAGAGCTAGTACCCTTTCACTACCAGAAAACCGAATATCTTTGGGGGCCAGAAATTTCCTTGAGGGGCGAAATTGAACCCCCCAAGGATATATCATTACCTTGGCTGTCGGTTGACCTCCAAGGACATGGATATTCTTGAGTGCTAACCAAACCACCAAGTTAATTCCATATTTCCTTGAGTGCTAGTCCGGACCACCAAGGTACTTCACATTTCCTTGGGTGTAATTGGAAACCGCTAAGGATGTGCTAGTTTCCTCGGGTGCAAACCCTCAATTAAATTGTTATAGCCACCAAGGAAAAAATTTCATTTTATATTCATTCCTCTTAATTAACCACCGATATATTGGACTCATTGCATTCTTGTTAGTTAGACATTGCATTTTATAGACACAAAGTCTCCATTGACATGTTTGTGAAATGAAATAGTATTTTTTTCTTAGTACATTAATTCAAACAAAAGGTATAATTTTGTGGTGTTATGCATTAGAGAATGCATACTAGCACTTAGCTTGAGATGCCTAGTTAGTTTTAAAGCTAGCATGCAACATACTAATATCGTATGGAGGCAAAGTTTATATCAAAGTTGTAAAGCCCGTAGAGATATACAACTTAGTAGTTGATGACTTCTTCATTTGAAATTATTTAAAGTCTACAAACTATGTTTTAATTTCTAAGAGTTTTGAACTTCAAATTTTTTGAATCTTTCAAATGGCCTCAGATGGAGATATAGTATCTAAACCAAAGTTGTAGTACTCGACAAGATATAAAACTTTTTCAGTTCAAACTTTTTCATTTGAAATTGTTTAGGGTCTCTAATATTCATTACAAGATCACCACTAAAGTGAAAACAAAAAGAAAGAAACATTCACTTAGTCACAAAAAGACTTCGTGGTTTAGTGGTTAGTGAATTTCACGCAAAATCTCATGTCGCGAGTTCGATTTCCAGCTACAACAAACGTGTGATTATTTCTTTTTCCTATACATATCGGGTCATCGGCACTCAAGAATGTTTTGTGGTAGTGTTTCTCAATCTTTGGAATTTTGGATCTTAAACCATGTACCTCATGAAGGCTAAATTGGGCTCCTGCCCCCCTTTCTCCGTGAAGTTCTACTGCCCAGTCTATGTTTGCAGGGACATGTGCCCATGACACCATGCAAAAACTATTTTTTTTACCAAGGGACACTATATTTTGCCTCTTCAAATTAACCTCCAGTTCTATTCTTACTCTCCGTTTACCTCTAGTTGCTTGTATTAATAGATAGTCTTTGTGAAGTTTTAACTAGCGGTCACTTTACACTTGTGTTAGTATAACGTTGAATTGTCACCCTTGATTTTACCTCACCCTCCGCCACTGCAAGACCATAGAGCTTGATGGATCCTACAACCTCCAAAAAGTCTCAACCAAGTGGCCTACCTTGATTTTACCTCACCCTCCGCCACTGCAAGACCATAGAGCTTGATGGATCCTACAACCTCCAAAAAGTCTCAACCAAGTGGCCTCTAGCCTCTAGCACCATCTTGCTACCTATCACCAAGGGTAGCAAGCACAAAATATTTACTTAACCTAATCAAGCCTAAAGATAGAAGAATGCACATTTTTTACTCTCCAAACACTTTCTTGACTTTCTTAGAACCTGTTTGGCAGGGCTCCTTGCCCAGCGGCTCCGGCTCCCACTGCACTGCACAACACTGTAGATCCCTGTAGCAGCGAAAAAAACGGCTCCGGCTCCAGCACAAATGAACGGGAAAAGAGGAGGAGCCGGAGAAGCCTGCAATTGGGTGCTCCGGCGGCTCCTCCACAGTGGTGCTACAGTAGCCGGAGCCGGAGCCTCTCCAAACAGGTCCTTAATATGAATTAGTATTCCTCACATGTCAAGAGGAATCAAATACACCCCCTTGTGTTCATTCTATACTTCCAGTGGAAGCCGTCAAGGACACAATGAGAAAGAAGGAAAAAGGCTGAGAAAAATATAATGTGTCATACCATCTTTTGATCAAGCACCGAACTGTTCGGTTGTATTTTAGCTGATTGTTATGTAATTGTACAACACTGCTTCTCCTTAGCACCGGATCGTCCGGTACATTAGCCTCCAAGACACCAAAAAACATACATTCAGCCCCTCATCATGTGATAGTTTGGTGCACACAACACTAGCCACCAGACCATCCAGTTAGTACAAGTTAATAGTGCCTAGAAAACTTCAACGCCCTAACGCAACATTTGTTCATCACATTGATCATCATCAGTTCATCACCGCTAGATCAACAGGTCCAATGATCCAGCAGAACAAGTAATAAGACTGAACCATCTGATCCAGTGATACAGTCGAACATATAGTAAGGCTAGACCAATTAACCACTTGACATTCACAAAGATAGTCTGATGAGTACAGTATACTGGCACATGGGCCATTCAGTGAAGTCGCCTTTTTCTAGACTGTCTAATTCACACTACGTCATAATAGCACTTCACTGCCGGTTCAAAATACCCCATTACTGTTGGATTTTGAACCGGCACAACCATATCGGCAGTGATGAGGTTAAGCTATCACTGTCGGTTCCTATAAACCGGCAGTTTCTTCAACTTCACTGTCGGTTCTTTACACAACCGGCAGAGTTCAGTTCCACCAACACTGCCGGTTCATAAGACCACCCGGTAGAGTTCAGTTCCACTAACACTGTCGGTTTGTGTTTCAACCGGCAGTGTTGTCGTAACAATCATTGCCAATTTGTGACAAGAACCGGCGGTGATGGCTAAGCCAATGCTGCCGGTTTGTGGCTTCAGCCGGCAGTGTCATCACTGCCGGTTTGTTGCTAACCGGCAGTGATGTTTACGACAACACTATCGGTTTTTTGCTAACCGGCAGTGATGTTATGTTCGCATTTTATTGTTTTATAATTTATTTTAATTTATATTTTTTCGTGGAATCGGGTTTTGCTTTATATACGCTATGTAGACGACAGGTCTATCAATATTAAACATTACAAATGTTACGGTTACAGTTCAAATGTTCTTATCAAGATCTTGATCCCTCAAAATAAAAAAGAAATGTTCTCGGACTTCACAGATTGTGCAATGCTTCTTGGACTTCTTACAATAATCTGGCGAGCCGCTCTGGGCCATACTAGTCCTTGAACTTCACGGATTGTGCAATGGAAAATACTCTATCTTTTTTTAATACCTCGGCTAAGATGAATTTTGCCAGCTCCGATTGCAGCGCGACGATCTGCATGTCTAACGGCCTTTCGTGGTTATATTTCTTGCGTCGTTGTTCAAAAAAGATGATATCCAAAGAGGAATCAGTAAATCATTTTGTTGAATGATTAACAGACAAATGAAATGGGGATTATACACACCAACTTATCGACTTCTTCTGATTTCCCGCCGATATAGCGAAGCATTGCCCACATTACATAAAGCCCGCATTCATTGTTTCCCGCCGGCTGTTTTAGGTACTTCCCTCCATTTCGACAACCTTGAATAGGACCTGTGTCCCACCGATATGTCTTCTTCAGACACTGAGCAACATGAAAAAGAGAAACATTAGAAAGCAGTATGTGTGATTAGAAAATAATATGTTATTAGGATCGCTTACTAATTCAGCACTGCCACCAGTGCATCTAGATGATGAAATGGTTTTTTCTTCGAGTCCCACACCTCGATCAGATTTTTGGCAAGATTAACACAAATGAAGACGAAATGGTTGCTGCAATCACAGAATCCTAATTATCGAATAATCTTAACAAAAAAAGAAGCATAAAATTAAAAGCCAAGAACAGATACTCGCAGTTGTAGGCTAGAAGTATGTGGGTTTTGTTCTTCATCTTGAATTCGTCGAAAACAACAATCGATCTCTGTTTCAGGTCTTCCATGTCACATCCATGGAGGCCTAGACATGTCTTCTCATTGACTCGTAAGGGGTCCAAGAAACCTATGTTATCCCATTTACTTTTTAGAATGCAAAATTTTGCTATACACCTATATAAAATCATGGGAAGTGTTCAAAAGTTAACAATTTGTGTCCCGAGAGAGTAGTTAATTATAATATCTTGCGTGTAGGGTACTTACATAGTCCATGACATCAACATTTGTGTGTCGAGAGAGCGTTTCTGGTATAGCTGGAACA